AGCACACAGCTTCCCTCCAACTTACTCCTACAATAACTAACATTCCATGCTCATTAGTCCGACTAATAATGTCTCTTTACTAGTCGTTTGTCTGAATGAAAGCCTAAGTTTAAAAAAGATAGGTTTACAAAGAAAACCTAAGTAGCTAGGAATTAATTGATATTACTTAATCAGACCAATTAAAACTCTATTCATTCACTTCAATAAAGAGAAGTTTCAAAAAAAAAAGAAATTACTCTGATAGTTGTATCACTTGTGAAAAATCTCATGAACACTAGTGTTTTTCAAAGATATCATTGACAATATTAATCGGAATGAAAACGAGATTCATTTTAATTACTGGATTCGTCATCATTTAAAACATCTATGTCGTTTTAATAATCCATAAAAGTACGTACTAAACTTTACTGACAGTTTTGCATTTCCCTAAAGGATTTCTGCTTTCTCTCAGATCTTATTAACAAAAACGCTTTGTATAATGACTAAATTTTTAAATTACCGAACAAAACAAGTTAAAATACAATATCAGTTGAAGCTAGACCACCATTGAAAACCTGGAAGCACTGGACGGCCGTTTCGTCCTAGTATGGAACTCCTCAGCAGTGCGCACCCACGATCCCGCACCACGCGGGGCCCGAACCCAGGACCTACTGGCTTCGCGCGCGAGCACTTAACCATTAGACCACTGAGCCGGCATCCAACGGTGTTAATGTCTAACTTCAACCAATCCACGAAGTTGCGCCACCGTACACCATTGTCTTCAGTGAGTTCCTATCTCACAACAGACCTGGTTGAACTCCACTGGTAACGGCTTCTCACTAGAACTTCGTGAGTTTTTCCTGAAGTCAGTCACTAGTGAGCAGTTGATTATTATTATCAGAATGGGTTTTGTGGAGATTTTAGAAATTTCACAGATTGAAATCATGAGTCAGTTGAAGCTACAATAGCTCTAATATAACCCTTAAAAAACACAACGTGAACATGTACATGATCTGTTTTACATAATAATGCATGAATCGTCATCAATAACTCATTATGTACAAGTTCATTAACTAGGCCTTAGTTCAAAGTATTGGTTAACCGGCTACGAGCGTGCATTTTGAATAAACGATTGGGTAATCAAAATATTATATAACTCAGAAGGGGTTTTTGTGGAGATTGTAGTAATCTCAATAGTTGAGATCATGAGTCAATTAAAGCTAGACAACCATGGAAAGCCTGGAAGCAATGGACGGCCGTTTCGTCCCAGTGTGGTACTACTCAAGAGTGCACATCCAGTATCCCGCCTCGCGGGTTTCGAACCCAGGACCTATCAGTCTCGCGTGAGAGCGCTTAACCACTAGACCACTGCGTCGGCATACAACGGTGTTATGTAACTGCTAGGAGTATTAAACATAATCCTATTAACATGGCTAGGCTGATCACTGAGACTTTCAATCGATTAATTAAAACCTTAGAACTATTATCTAGCTACTACTAAGTTCATTTTACAAATTTTTAGCTTAGCCGGTAACATTGAATGTTTACACTTTTACCACAATGATGACGTGTTAAAACAGTCAATGATCATTTTTTAGCATTGCATGGATCGTTCATATTTATTGAAAAATTTTCTAGCTACAACGATATAAATATATATAGAGGAAAATTTGTTTTATTTTCTAGAACCTGTTCAGGTTGGAATTTCCCGACCAGTCCCTTTATATAACTTGATCGATTCACTGAATTCAATCATATGTAGTATTTTACCAAACAGACCAAGTTGTTGTAAAAATGACTTATCTTATTGAGAAAGTTGAAAAACAACGTGAATTACAATACCAGTTCGATAAATATATGCCCGGTAGAGTTTCTCAATCAAGTGGAATTCATAACTAATTACAATTTTTATTCTAGTATTAAAAAATCTGAATGTATATATACCGAGTGATTTAGCATAATTAAATGGGATCTAAATGCAGATCATTGTATTCCAACTTGATCGTCTGAGAAAGTCGTATGCTCTGTATAATTTGAAAGTTAGTCAGTGTTCAACAACGACAAGTACCAAATAATGATAACAGAGCTATCTAGTATCATTATTTCGAAATAACACTATAATGAAAATTACATAAACATATAAGTTTGTAGGTATCATTACCAAGGTTTGATTTGATAATTTCGAATAAATTGAGCATTGGGTAGATTGTAATAAATAAAAGGATTCTCTGAAGAAGTGGCTTACACTAAGTCACGAAACGTCAGAAAATCTGATTTTTCTACTCATTGGGATATTACAAATGTATTATTTATCTATATACATATAAGTAACTTTTCTTTGTTTCACCAATAAACTGTACCACCAAACATTATCCAAACGTTACATTGCGTTGGTTACTAAATACTCTGCTGTTTATAATGTGCTTAGTATCAACTCTTCCAAGTGTAGTTTTAAGCAACATAAGTTTAAAATTATTTAGCAACAAATAATGTCATTCTGTTAAGTGTCATACTACATAAAACTTTCAGTCGGTTATCTTCAACCATTTAATACGTACTTATAACTTTGGTAGATTATGTAAATTTTTGTCAGAAAAATATTATATCAGCTGTTATAACTAGTTAACAACATTTAAAGTGTGTATTTTAAATTCATTTATTCAAAAGTCAGACATTGAAAATATTGCATGATATTGTTGGAGGGGGGAAGGGAAAGAAGTTTCCGTATATAAAATATAACTACTAGTTTGTTCATAGTTTCTTGTAAGTAGAATGCTTCCTTAAATGAATGTATGAATGTCTATAAGTGAAATTGAAAGAAATGAATTTTGAACTTGGTATTCATTGGAAGATTTATCATAAGTTGAACTCTTACTTGGATACAATTAGATAAAAGATATTATATTCATTCACTTAATTAAGTAGTAATCATTAAATATTGTAAATTATGTGTAAAAAAAAGAGGACATAATTTAAAAGTTACAGGGTTATGATAAAATATTTTCCCAGATAATCCCATATTGAATTATCTCGAAATTTGTAACGGGTTAAATGAACAATATTAGTTTTATTATTTACTGAAGCGAGATATCATACCTAAATATATGAATGTTGTATAACTGATGGATAGAAATACATTGAAATGAAATATATTATACTTAAACTTTAATTATTAGGTAGCACTTCAATTTTATTTAGGTCACACCAGCTCACGATGGATAAGTTTTTTCTTTTGATTCCAACTCGGCCTGTTATTTAAAACATTATCAACATGTAAATGTGGATAATTTGTTAATCAAGAAGTTAATGTGGCATGAAAGATTGGTCAATTAGTTGCTGAATTTCAGCAAGCAAAAAATGCCAAGTACAGAGATTATAAATAAGACTGATAGGCCCTGGGTTCGAATCCCGTGAAGCAGGATACTGGATGCGCACTGATGAGGAGTTCCACAATTAGACGAGATGGCCATCCAGTGCTTCCAGGTTTTCTATGGTTGTCTAGCTTTAACTGACTCATGATCTCAACCATTGAAATTATGATTTTTAGTTGATAACTTACATTTTTAATTATTTATTTCTACGGATTAAAAAAAACCTACAGACCTTATATTTTAGCAGGAATGTGTCTTTTGTAGAAGTTAGCATCCTAAATTAAAGGCGGAATGAAACTGAAGTGTACTTGATTCAGGTGTCATGGATCTTCTGAAACTTGCACATTTTCTTGATCATACAGAAAAATTATTGGGATTTTTCTCTATACTTTTAATGAGTTCTCATCATATTTTATTCCAATCAAACCAAATTAAAGATTCATACGAATATTCATCAAGATTAGAACGAATAGTTTGACAGTAATTAGGCGCCGGGTATAGAGAAGTCTGGACGAAACGTTGGAATTAGTTAAATTTCAATCGCTGAGAATATTTCAAATATAATTCTCACATATGATGACAAATTAAAGATTGTTATAAAAGTAAAACCCGTAGCACGTGTAATTCATTTTTATAAAAACAAATTAGGTTTTAGTAAGTTGGGTGGGATCTGTCATTCAAAACGTGACAATTGATGTATCGATAGTTGATTTACAATTTTAAAGCTTGCTTTTATCATGCTAACCGAATATGAGTATGATGAAATAACTTACACTTGGCCACAAAAAGTTAGAAATTCAATTTTTTTGCCCACTGAGACATTACAAATTTGTCTTCATTTTTTTATCAATAACAGTCTCGTGCAAATCAAACCTAGGTAATGATATAAGCATTTTAAAAAATTTGTTCCATTACTAATCGACATGACTAAATAACATTTAACTCACTCACTAAATTTTGTTTTCATAACACTTGAGTTATTATGATGTTTAAAATTCAGTTATTGGTTGATTTGAACTAAAGATGAGTCCCATGCGCGGGATCGTCGATGCGCACTTCTGAGGAGTCCCACACTGGGATAAAACGGCCGTCCAGTGTTTCCAGGTTTTCAGTGGTGGTCTAGCTTAGATCGACTCATCAATTCAATTGTTACAATACTACAATCTCCGCAAACTCCCATTCTGACAAAGATGATCAGTCTGATAATGAAGACAAATATAACTAAATACTCAGTACTCTTGGTTTTAGAAAGTTGTAAGCTTTAGAATTGTAGTAATATATAAATAACATCACTAGATGAAGGTGTCAAACGACAAATAATTTTTGTCTTGAATAATGTCATTTACTACTTATGAGTATTTGTATGCAATAGACCCATTACCATCACGGAATAATCCAAGTTAACAATAATACTTCACTGCTTATTTTACAGTTCAAATATCGGATTACTCATCTAGTTAAAAATAGAGAAACGTTCACATAAAGAGGACCAGTAAAGTACACTAGTTTACTGTACACAGTAAAATCATCACCACTAGATGGACTAGATAAAAATCAAGGTCAAATAGTTTCACCCTACTTGCTCTTTACTATTAATCCATATAAGCATCTGAACATTTGTAAATACATTTCAAATATGGAACTACTTACTGATTCAAAGCAATCAGTCCCTTTGATAAATTTAAATTAATGTAATCTGATAATCTTCGTCTTCTTATTGTACTTACTGATCGCTCTTGATTTACGACTATTGAATAGCGAATATCCCTTTGATTGTTTTTATAAACAAGGATATATTTCCATTACCATAGTATAATTAAGCTGACGCTTTAATTATTTTATTATACAAGTCATGACCCGATTCTAATTCCAAGCCAATAGCTACTTGATCATTGAACAGTGATAATAATACAAACTGTTATTATCATAACTTACATGTTTGACACATTCAGTAAACAAATGATCCCATAAAACAGTGTTCAATCAGTTTTAATACGAACTAAGTACTTTTTCTTAACAAAAATTCAATTGTTATTTCTGATCATTTTCTTCAGTAAACATGTAATAACCACAATAATCCTCAGTAAGTCCATAAAACAATTAATTACTAACAATAGAAGTAATTACACTGATATTACTGTTAAGTACATTTCCGAATGAATCAATTATATCATTGATACTCGTAACATGTATTTACTATGCCAATTTATGACATTATGCCTTGCTTCCATCGATTTGAATCGTTTGTGAATCATCTTGTGCTATTTTATCTGTGTATACAGTAGGAAGTTATTAAAATTCAGTTATAATTATAGTTATTGCTATTACTTTTACATTCAAACATACCTAAGCATTTTCATACATACATACAATATATATACATATACGTACATACATACATACAAAAGACACCCAATTATATAACACACATGTATGTGCTTGTAAACTATCATTTTCGTATTCATATATGCCTGAAATAAAAGTATGAATGTCTACAAATTTTCTCCTATGTATATAATATTTTCCCATCTCTATAGAGTACATATGTATCTATGTTGAATGAACTTCGTTCAGAGTTATTAGCTCATTCAAATTGAAAGTACCATTTCCACACATAATTATCACAGTAAGATACTGCTCTGCGATTGGTTTTATGTATATTTTTGGAGTCATAAGAATACAAAGGTTAGATATTAAAACCAACCAATTAAATTCACCACTTGAATAAAACAAATTCACTCTTTTTCATAAATAATCATAATAAAACGTTTCACAAAACAGAAATTGCTTATTTCCCTTTCTGTTTCAAAGTCATTTTGATTATGAAAGATAATGTTCTGTCAAAATATCATTATGATAAGTAAGTAGATTAAACTCGATAAGAACGTCCAATATACAATTGAAATAACATTTTAGTGACTTTACTCAGAAAAAAAGATGAAGCAGCAAACTAGCTTGTTAGACTCAATTTAAATAAAAGTAGTTCTCGCTGATAAATTTCCATCATATCACGACAAAATGACTGTCCGATGCTTCTAGGTGTTCAGTGGTAGTCTAACATTGATCGGTTGATGATTCTAATAAAATTCAACAATCTTCACAACCCCAAACTGAAAAAAATATGGATATGGATGAAGAATATTCTTTTCGATAAATTCTCTTCAAGTTCTACACTTATATTTCCAAATTAATAACCGAAAAATGACTAGGTTTAAGGTCAATATATATAGTGATAAATATATTTTTTGTTATATACTAGTGAGTAGAAAAATTGTATTTCTGATGTTTCGTGACTTAATGTAAGTCACTTCTTCTCAGTAGATAAATAACTGAATTAAATTAACCCAAGTGACGGAACGTCAGAATTACAATTTTTCTACTCACTGGGATATAACAAAAAATATATTTATGATTAACTCTCTACCCCATGCTCAATTTATTTGAAACTATCAAGTTCAACCTTGTCACTAAAACCTGTAAATACATATAGTTTAAAATTATATCATGAGGATTTTAAATAGCTTATAATATAAGATAAAATTAACACCTTTGGATTTTAGATGAGTGGTCTAGAGTCTGTGTTCGCGCGTGATACTAAGGTCCTGGGTTCGATGCTCACGTACGGAGTCGTGGATCCGCTCTTCTTGGGAGTCTCGTATCATCATGTGAAAGTCATTCGGTCTTTCCAGGTTTGTTCTGGCGGCCTAGTTAAGATCAGTTCGGGATTTAAATTGTTAAACAAACGTGTTAGTGTTGTGATGACTAGTATGCAATGTTGACTTGAATTAGTTTGTACGATAAATGATCAAAATAAATATAGGCAACATGAGGTTAAAGATAAAATTATAATCAAAGGTTAAAATGAATTTCTGATCAAAGATTACGTAATATCAAGAGTAATATGGATTAGATAAAAAATAGTAAATAAGAGTGGGTTCTAAATAAATTTCCTAAACATTTACAAACGTTAGAATAATTCTAACAATCATAATATGCGAGAACAATATAAATTTAAGCTGTGGAAATGCAAAGAGGAAGAATGCATGCTACATCAATCAAATTATGTCCTCATATCTTTAAAATAAGTATTAATTAATTTGGTCAAAAGAAAATAAGTTAGTTATATTTCTTCCGGATGTCAAGCTTCGACATTTTGATCCAAATAGCTGTTGATTCAGTCCTTTTACGAATTCTTGATCTGATGGATTTCGACAAGTGATTGTTAAATTCACGCGTTATAATATTAAACGATATATTTACCTTAAGCCTGGACACTTTTGTTATTGTTAATTCAGATGTATAACTGTAGAATCTCAAGAAAACTAATTCAAAAGTAATTCTGATGAAACTAGAAATCAGAGTGAGCGATAAACTTTAATTACTGACAAAATAATCACTGAAAAACAGGCTGTATTATTGGATTGTGTTAGTGGAAAATGGAGTATGGACAGTATTTTTTTTCTGTTGTAGCTTGCTGATCTAAACGGATTTTGATAAAACAAAACAATATGACAGTATTTTTCTGTTTTGAATCAGTCGATTTTAGAGAGTTGTCAAAATTAGTAAACTAATCAACATTTGCAAATTGTTCCATGTTTTCTCTGTTAAACAAGAATAAACTTATCCTGGATTGTATTTTTCAGAGACGAATAGTTGACGGCTCTTCCGACGAACCTAGTACTTGGGTTTCATTTCCCGTAGTCTATTAATGATTTGTCTGAGTATTCATGTCTGAAATAACTTTACTATCTCTCTACCAAAACATATTCAACGTTTAAATAAAAATGATCATATAATCTTGCTTATCCACTTCCTACATATATCTGCAGTAATAATCGGCTTGATACCTCTGAATGTCTTTATCACCTTTTGTGGTGCATTTCTATGTTTAATCATTACCTAGCTTCCGTCCTTAACTTTAAATGGCAGTGTCTTGCAAGCATTCAGAAATGGGATCGACATTATGTAAGCAAATTGTTGGTTAATTCGTAAATGCTTTTGAATCATGAATATGAAATTACCATCTTTTTATCTCTACAAAAATTATAATAGTGTTCGTTTTCGTAAAATACATTTTCTTGATGTTATACAGTGAACAATTTATTGTAAACAACTTTTCTAAATGGATAATCTGCCATCTGTTAAGAATACTCGACTGTAGTACTGAACAAATACGGTCGCAGTATTTGAGGAAGTATAACCTTACTGACGAATAGCCTTTCCTTATAAGTGTTCCGATGCACAATATTTAGATCCATGGATTCATGGCGACCACGGAATTCGCACATAGAATGAGACTTTTCAGAAATACGATTCCACGGCCCACCAGGCCCTTGGGGATTTTTCGGTAAAACCTTAACCTTTTGACCACCAAGTTGAAAACTATATATTCACATCTATAAGTGATATTTAGCTTTTCAAAAAACCACCTACAAAAAAACTATACATCTCATTTAAATCGGTGGTTATGGAGATGATAATGATCATTCCAGGAATCACAAACTTAATAAATGATCTGGTGCACGTAATTCTATTCAAACCACAGCCGAAGTAAAATTAGAATTTCGTTGAGATGAAAACATATAGTTTTGATAAATTTCATCTCTTCATTACATTTTATACATTTATCTAAAGAAATAAATTGTTTTGGAAACGATTAGTTGGTTCAAATGAAAGTAGTCAAAGAACTTATGTAGATTGATACTAAGTTACAGAAAATATCCCATTAAATAGTCACTGACTAATGAAGCATAATGTTAACTGTTACTGAACTGCAACTGGATTTACATAATGTTTCGTTCATTCATATTACTAGGTTGTCCTTTTGGAACAGGATTTCTCTATTTTATTTATTTTTACTTCATACGTTGCTAATGCACATAGAAGAATGAACACACATGAAAAACGAATCGAAATGTGCTAGTTAACATGGTTTCGACATCTGAAAAACATTTTGCGTCTAATGATAGTAGGATAAGGGCAATTGTGATTGACCTTGTCATGATGGTACATAGTGAGTGCCTTTGAACATTTTATATGTGAAAAACCAAGGAAATTTTTAAACCTGTTTTATTATAGTGAGACAGATAACTCAGCAGTTAACTTATTAGTTATCTTACAATTATACCGTAGTACTTTGATTATCTACATTACGAATTGATGATCGACAGCGATTGCATACTAAGAGTTATTAGAAATCTGTTCGTCTTGATATGGGGCTGACTCCTCTGAGAAATGCACTCACGAGATCGTCGTGAATCGAACCTAGGACTATAATGTCTCATCGCGAACGCCTAATCTTGTTTTATTCAAAAACCCACACACTGAATGCTCTAAAAGTCGAAATTAATAATTTTCAAACTTGATACCAAATCACTATAAGTATTTCAACTAGAGGTCCAGTTACACCAGAAGACAGTTAATAGCTGTCTCAATTAGACATAATGTTTAAGAAACAGTTGGTTTAGCTGTAAGCCTGAAAACCTTGTGCAATGGTAACATTATATTATTCGTAATATGATTTCCATCAAGCATGAATATTCGACATCCAATGTTTTCAAGGTGCTACACTCCCTGAGCTAAATTATTTGATTGCGAACTTAATTTTACAGTTTTAAAAACTAAGATTCATTTTTCTCGTAATCAGTTTATAGACTTTGAAGTATCATTTCACTTGGTACTGTTTACTTGAATCTTCCAGTTGATATTTAGGACTGCAGTTGATCAGTCTCTTATTGGCATATGTGCATACTATTAGTATTGCCTCGACATTGCCCTTAATCCACAAGCATCATAAGCAAAGAACTATTATTTCAGTTCAAATCAGAAATATACAATTTATAAAACTGTCAACATGACGTTGAATAAAACGTATTAATTAACACTGTCGAAAATAATACATGATCATAATGATGACGATTATTATCATTATTACACAAGATAAACAACAGATTTTCTGCATAAAATGTAACCAAACATTTCTGATGACAAGGATAGTAAACTTAAAAACGATGACAAAAGGTCAGCTTTTATTTAATTTTTTTTAACTAAAATGACTCATTGAACTATGGTCAGTTTTAATCTTGTCCGTTTATGCTCGTTATAACTTTTCAGTTTGTTAGAAACCTGTATCAAAACGACTGAATTAATTCACAAAAATGAAATTGATGATATTTCGAAATATGGAATCCCATAAAACATAAACTGTCTTATTTGGGATTTACTCAGTGAATACACATTGATTCTGGTATCGATTTTCAGTTCAGTTTCAAGTCCAATTACTATTATGGTGTAAGCTACTGATGTCGGCAGATATAAGTAGTATGTATCATC